ATTCAAGCTTTTGAGCCGCACAGATGTGCTGCAGCAGCCAAAACAATAACTGTGAAGATGAATTCAGTCAGATAACATTTACATATTTTAGAAACAAAGGAATAGAATCACTTCCATGATGCAGAACATCAGATCATATTGTACATAGAGAAAAGTTGTATTGCCCAGATGTTGCTCTTCTGCTGCTCAGATAACTTAACTGAGTTTTCAAGCATGCTAAATTGTCAACTTTGTCTCAGAGGATTCTACTTAAATTCCTTGGGAGCAATAAAAAAGAGACACAAATGAGACATAGAGAAAGGTTGACCGAAAAAGTATAGAGCTATAAAACGAATGTGGATGAATTTGTTGAGAAATGTTTGAGTTCATTGAAATCTCTGACTTTTGATTGCAGAACATCACAAATGAAATCTCTTTATTATCTCAGTTGTTTCTTGATGAAGTAAACAGAGAGCAAATGGAGTGTTTTGTCTGCTGCTTCTCAGATATTTCTCATCATGTGTCTCCATGGGTCACGATTTCAATACAAACTCAAGCATTTTGCATAAAATTCCTCCAAGACTGATTAAGTCTCATGAGCTATGAAAGAGCAACCTATAAGTACCACTTTCTCTGAGATGGCATCTGAGCATGATTCTGGTCAAATATGAGCATAGTCTGAGAACACATAGTCTGAAGATCATTTCTAAAACCCCCAAAAGAGATATTAGGGACTTTTTTCTCAGGAGTGACTGGGAAGCAGGAGAGTTTGCATTTAAATCTCCGTTTATTCTCCATTTAATCGCAATCTAGTCTAGGAGAATCATTTGCGATATCAAAGAGATGTCATTTGTGATTTTTTCTTTCCTGCTGATAAGAACATGATGACATTTAGCTAGGCACAGTTTGTTAGGACAAGATCTACAATGAGTGTCCTGGGAATCTGATCTACTTTGTATATGAATTGTTATTGTATGTGTGTACAGTATGAGTGTGTGTGTGCCTTTATTTAGCAGTATGAGTGCATTATTGAAATGCAGTATGCAGCAGAGATCTCTTACATAATACTGTCTCCTCAGGCAAATGCACTGCACTCACACACACACGCACACACACACACACACACACACACACACACACAGCCGACTCCAAAAGCATTCACATGCACGTGATAAACGCACACACACACGCTCACGAGAAGAGAAAAGAAATAAGCACGACTCATGCAAAGCCAGACATGTGCATGCAATTGCAAATATTTTTCAAATACTTGAAAATACTCATAGGAAAGGACATCTCTTTAATGTCTCAATTGTTTAATGAAAACAGAGAGAGTGAACGAATCAAAGGAGATTCAGTATCAACTCACATATTTCTCATCACATTCTTCTGAATAAATTTAGCTGCTGTCCTCAATAATTTTAGCTCTGTAATCTTACTCCATGTCAACAATTGTCTCATTTGTATCTATTTTGATTTCACCTAAGAAACTATAGGAAAAACAAACTTGAATGAAATGGTTATAAGAACTGAGAACAAGCAAACTCTGAGCAACACCATTTTCCTCTGGGTACCTAAAACACTTGCAGCAACACAAACACACACCTTTACAATACAGATGTTTGCATACGTTACTTCTGAATAAGCACATACTGTATGCTGTCCTCTTTCTGAACATGAGCATAATTACTGTTGTCATGGACACAGTCATAGTGACGGGCCTCACACACCCTCTCATGTCAATAAACACACATGTGGTGCATCTTTTCACAGGCGTTTCTATGTAAATAAACATATTGGATTGTGAACCACAACAATGAAATGAAACGCCATGAATCATTGATCGAAGAGTGGAACGAACTCGTGCAAAACAATGTGAGCTAAATATAAGCATGACTGTTGCAGAGAAGCAGCACAAGCTAAAACAATAAACACACGAGTATAGTTGACATTTAATGTGTCCATGAACCTATATGAATATGAATTATTAAACAAATTATTACATTTATAAATGTATGTATGTCTAAAAACAAAACACACAAAAATTTTATCAACCATTTTAAAAGCTGAATTTAGTGAGTTTTTGACATTACAACATTATAATGTACAGAATGAAAATGAATATTAATACTGAGATTAAAACAAAAAA